AATTCCGTGGCTTTGCCCTATCTGCAAGTCTTGAACTGCACTCAGATACCACAGTGGGAAGTGTGCTATAGAAACCAGAGTAGAAACCACCAGAATAGGATGAAAGAACATCGTAATAAAGGGAACAGCATTCTTGGACAGAGTGACACCAGAGGGTCTAAGCACCAAATACTTCCCATGCTCTACAGTACTGGAGCATGTGCTGCAGGAGACACAAAGACAAAGCGGGGAAAGGGAAAGAAACCAGGTACAAATAAAACAGAGCCGGTCTGGAAAACTGTGATGCCGCAGTGTCATTCCTTTCCACAACAGCAGCAAATATCATACCCTGCCCTAGAGACTTCACCAGCAGCGCCTATTGTCAGTGCACAGACAGAACCAACAAGGCAAAGAGACAGCACTGATTCCTACTGATGCCATTGCCCGAGCTCAGCCACTACACTTACACCAGCACACTGCTCCCAGCAGTTGAAATCAACATTGTTCTATAAACACGAGTGGCATACTCGGGTGCATTAGGAGGAGCACTGCCAGCAGAGCCTGAGATGTCATTATTCCCCTTTATTCGGCACTGGGGAAGCCACATCTAGAGTATTGCGTCCAGTTCTGGAAAGGATGTGGATGCATTGGAGAGGGTCCAGCGGAGGGCAACCAAAATGATTTGGGGGCTGAAGCACATGACCTATGGGGAGAAGCTGAGGGATTTGGGTCTATTTAGTCGGCAGAAGAGAAGAGTGAGGGGGGATTTGAGAGCAGCCTGCAACTTCCTGCAGGGAGGTTCCAAAGAGGATGGCGAGAGGCTGTTCTCAGTGGTGGCAGGGGGCAGAACAAGGAGCAATGGGCTCAAGTTGTGGTAGGAGAGGTCCAGGTTGGATATTAGGAAAAACTATTTCCCTAGGAGGGTGGTGAAGCACTGGGATGGGTTCCCTAGGGAGGGGGTGGAGTCTCCATCCCTAGAGGTTTAAAAGTCCCAATGTGACAAAGCTCTGGCTGGGATGATTTAGTTGGGGCTGGTCCTGCTTTGGGCAGGGGGCTGGACGTGATGACTCCTGAGGGCTCTTCCAGTCCTAGGATTCTGATTCTCTATGATTAAGAGTGGCCCTGTGGCACCTAAGAGATGAACACAATATAGAGAGTCACGATTCTATATGATCCTATATATTTTTGTTAGTCTCTAGAGTACCGCAGGACTTCTTGTTTTTAAAGTGACAGACTGATAGAGCTACTCTCTGAGATTAATTAATACAAGAGGCAAGAGTGTTAGCCCTGTCAGAAAGTCATGCAGAGCATAGCCTTGGTATTCCAGTCTTATACACACAGAGAATGAGAACAGCCATCTAGGTAATGCAGAGATAATGGCATTTACATGTGGGAAATTTGAGTCTGCAGGGGAGCTGTACTGAAGTTTCAAATATAAAATAACCATTCAGAGAACAAAATGTCTAAATCTCTCTAGGTTGGCCAGCTCACCATCCCTTGCAGTGTCAGCAAATTGTCACTGGTATATGAGAGGAGAAAAGTCACTGTGACGGGGCACTCTATATTCTTCATGGAAACATGCTTATGAATATGAATATGACATAATTGGAAACCCCTTTATGCAAAATACTTCATGTAAGGTATCATTAGAAAAGTTATAATCTGCTGAATGTGTATATTCTATTAGTGTCCATGTATTATTCCTGAATTTGAAGGTAGAAATATGAAGTATTAACCTGTGTTACTGATGTAAACATGCTGAGAGCCAGTAGGTATTTCAGAAACATTGATAGTTCATGAGGGGGGGGTCAATGATTTGTAAATGAGTTTTTTTTCTTATGGGCCAATATGTAGGAGGGGCTGAAAATCCCACAAGAGCATGTGTTCAGGTCAGCTGATATGGGAGTCCATCATCAATGTAGGGCTTTTCCACATGGAGGGAGGGGTGAGGCTTGCCAGCAAACAAAGACTTCCTGCCTTCTGCACAACCTGTTTAAGAGGGGAGCCAAGAGCTATGGCCGCCACCCATTTACCATCTAAGAAGTCTGCTGGAAACAACTGAAACTGAGCATTAAGAAGAGCTGGGCCCAACCTGGAGGCTTCCCAGTCAGTGAAGATGGCTAGAACTACTGTGCGGGTCAGGTATTAATGTAACAAGTTTCTTGGTGTACTAAGCTTAGCAGGCATGTTTTGTTTTCTTTTCATGAGTAGCTTACTTTGTTCTGCATGCTGTAACTTCTAGCCCCTTAATCCTACTTGTTATACTTAATAAACTCACTGTTGTTTATTCATAAACCCAGTGCGAATTGTTACTGGGGCGGGGGGAGCAGCGCACCTCTCTCTTTAGCTAAGAAAGAGGGCAAACAGCGTAAGCTCACCCTCTGTAAAACTGTATAGAGGGGGAGATGGGGTTCAGGTCCCACTGGGGCTGTGCAGCTGAGTGCAGAGATGAATCCCTTTGGCTGAGCTGCTCTCAGTGTCTGTATTACACTGCATAGGGCTGCAAGCCCATCTCGTGTCAGTGCTGGAGGGAGGCGGAGGGGCCTGGCTCAGCGAGGCAGAGTAAGGGAGGCGCACAGGAAGGTTGGCTCAGTGTGATGTCAGCATGTCAAGAGACAGTCACGAGGGGATCTCATCTCTGTCACTGAGCCTGTCACATCGATGTGATGTCAGACTCGTCGCATTCTGAATATCTAAAACCAGAAGAGGCAGAGAAGAGCAGCACAGTCACTGCCACCAGCTACCTGCAGACCATGGGGGACGTGGGTACCTCACAATGTTCTGGACTCAGCTGCTACGGGATGCTGTGCAAGAGCTGCCATCCGTTAATGGGACTGGCTGTGTTTTTAATCCAAATTCTGCGGTTTTTTACAACCCAGTGGCACAGGAATAGTTTTTGGGGTGGGGGTGCTGAGCTGCACCTCCCCCTTACCTTTTTACATGCCTCTCACTGGCCCTAGGGCTGGGCTGGTAATCAGGACCCCAGGCCAGCAGCTCCTCTTGATAGCATATGAACCCAAAGGCTTCCAAAGAGACTGAGAAACAGGAAACAACACCCCCCTCTGATCCTGCTTCTCCTCCCAATATTCGGCTCTCTGTGCTTGTGTCTTTCCGATAAGCTCAGAAGCCCCAGTTCCTTTCTGAACACTCACATTTTATTTATTTTTAATCTTCTTTGGGGAACCTGGTATCAAAGCTGTCACAGACTTGATCTCTACACATATGTTCTGTGTGATGGCACCTTCTCGAGGTACCTAATATCTGTCCTCAAGTACAGAGACACTCCTCAGCCACTCCCAAGTACAGAGACACTTGTTCTTTTCTCTGGACATTCATGATATTCAGAGCAGCACATCATAAGAAAGGTTGATTGGAGTCTGCAGCCTAAGTTACATGAAGCTCTAGCTATATGAAATGAAAGACCGCTTTCCTATCATACTAAACTGTCAAACTGTTCCTCGGTTGGCAGGAAAGACAAACGCCATTAAAGGATGTATTCTGCTGTCAGATTGATGCTAGGATTCATACCTGTATTCCTTTGCCTGTATCTTGCTCTGAGCTCTACATGTCACAGGCTCAGACTCCATGGGAGAAATTTAAGGGCAATTAAAATCTGGAAGCAGATTCAGGCCTTGTACTTCCAAAAACAGAAAGATATTTAAAACATAGCAACAACTACCAGCAAATGGTCACAGATTAAAATAACTCCATGCCAGTTTCACTGTTATTCTAAAATGTATAATCACTGTTCAATAGCCAACTTTAGAGCCTCTCGTTAGCTTGTAATTAAACATGAATCTACTTTGCCTGGAGATGACTGGAGCCCTCAGGCATTGATATTATAGCCCATGCCCATTCCTCAGCCCACCTGGTTCTACTAGTCTCTCCAGCCTTTTCTCTCTGTACATCCTGGGACCCTTGTTAGCCTGATTCTGCACAGGCCTCGAACTTCTGTGGGAGCAAAGGGCTCCCAGCACATAGCTGCAGGGTCAAACCCTGCATGCAGGAATTTACTCCCCAAACTCTCCAGGTGTCACTGGCTGATCTCCTCCACTTCCCAAAATGTCCCTCCTGGGGGCCAGCCCCTGCTTTCCCAAGTGAAATTGTTTACGGATGGTTTGCGTTATCCAGAATGGCAGCACATCAATAAGTCTGTTAGGTTCCCTGGGGCATGATGAAATAAATATTTGCTACTGCATTTAGTTTAACTGCCAAACTCTACTTCTGTATTGTGCCTCTCTGGGGAGAGCTGACGGACATGTATCTGCAGAAGTGCTTTTCTGGTTATACTGCAGGACCCAATCAACCATCTTCTGGGAACCCCCAAACCAAAGCCGAGCTGTTCTGATCCCCTAAGGACAGGCACTGAAAGGAGAACAGTTATGGCTGAGCTACAGAATGCACTCTTCCTGTACAGAGAGTTTAACAACAGTTCGGTGCATGTGATAACCACTTTCATGGGCTAGAAAAAAGCCCTCGGAAGGATAGGAGGCCTGACAACGCCCCACTGGGCCAGGAGGCCTGAGAAAGTCTCTACACCCCCCCCCCCCCCACTCTGGGCGCGCCCCCGCACCAGGGCTGGCAGAAGAGGGACAGTAGATTGGATTTCTGCACTGTATATCTCATGGACAGGCTGGTGGTTTGGGTATAACTATGGGATATAGGGCTTGGTGAATCCATTGGCCCCAACTCCTCCCACAAATGATCCGAAAAGGCTTCAGCTGTCATTGCAGTGAACTGATTAAGCAAGCAGTTGCAAAGATAGGGGGCTGCTCTGCTAACTCCTGTCCCAGCCTGGGTTTAGCAGGATGGATACTGCCCCCCTCACAACACACCACATCACAGCTCCCCTCTCCTAGTCAGACTGGCAGGGTGCCACAGCAGACAGTGGCAACTACTTTCAAATGGAGGAAGTTTAAAGCAATCAGTCTAATGCCACTTGGGTTTCACGAAGGAACAAAACATTAACAAAAGAAAGAGGAGAGCTCCAAGGAGAATAGAATAGATAATGGCTCATCTACCTTATCTGTTTCCCATAGCTGTCCATCAGGAAGGACCAATGGTACTTGACGAGGAGTGGGCTGCAGTTGGTCATTTTGATGTAACGTACAACCTCCGTGTCATTCAAAATGCAGCCAAAATCCAAATCCATGGTTTGGAAGTGAAGGTTTGGGAAGTGCACTTCGCCCCGCAGGGTGACCTGGTCCTCATGAGGATGTTCCAAATACTGGATAGTCAGGACCCCCTCTGCAACCCGGGTGTTCAAATCCTTTCTGTAGAAAGGGTCAAACCTGATGGAGACACGCTGTTCCTCTCCAGTCCCCAGTGTCCTAGGCTGCATTGAGACACACAGGGGTTAAACACTGTTGGACTGAACTTTACCAGTCTAATGCTGTGAACACACAAAAAAAACATGGGCATCTCAACCCATCCATCATGGAGCCTCTCGATAGCATGCCTAAGTGTCTGACAGATCAGCCCAGACTGAGTCATGTTCAGACCTTCTCCAAGTCACACACTCTCCTCTCCATTTCATTAACCCAGCAGAAGATAGTTTTGCTGAATTTTGATCCTCTCAAAGTTTTGGCTAACCAGAATATTGCTCGGTTCATATTGTACTGCAGAGAGACTGCTTAAAAACAAAAAGGCAAACAGAAGCCAGTGGAAAAATGAAGACAGCATATTATGAACTGGCTGTCATGTATGTGTCATGACATCTCCTGTATAAAACCTGCTCCCTAGGTGTCATAAGCTCTGTCTAGTTAATAGTTATAGAGCATCCCCTGTAACTGAAGTGCTAGAGGACGGTGCTTTTTGCCCTGTTGTCATTATGAAGTGGCTATGGTTTACATCAAATTGGTAACCAGGACGTTCTAGGGGTAGGTATCACCATTTTGGTGGGGGAAGGAAACGTGGGTCAAGAAAGAGGGTCAGGAACTCAATTTTCTGTTAATTCCCAAATGAGTCTGAGGTTTGCAAAACCTCAAGCCCCAATGGTTTTGCCCAACCCGCACCAAAGGAAACATTTCTCACCAGGAAATGACGCAGCAATTTCATGCAATACTAGTAACTGTGAAGAGTCAGCGGGCCTGATTCTTCTCTCTCCTGCACTAGCTGTACTTCAGTGTAACTCCACTGGCGTTAATGGAGTTGCTCCTCATTTACACAGCCATGTCAGAATCACCAGGGGGCTAGCTGAGGCAGAAGAGATGCTGGCTGGAGCAGGGTCTGGCTAGGGAGCTGAAGCAAGAGCAATCTATCAGGACTGCTAGGCAAGGGAGTGCTCCTGGCCAGGTAGTGATACTGAGCAAATGGGGGCAAATGCCTCCCTTGAGGTACCTATATAGGTACCTGAATAGGCTCTTCACTTCGGGATTGGCTGGCCCTCGGTTAAACGTTGTGGGGTCTATCACAAGACCTTGTGATGGGGCATTGGCCCTACACTGGCCTTCAAGAGGCTAACAGAGTCCTATGGAAGCTGTGTGAAAAGCAGCCAATAGAAGAGGGGCTGCAAGGAGCAGCCACTTAGGGCCTACCAGGCCCACATTAGAAGAGCTGCAGGGAAGAGCAGGGTGAGTTATTCCCTGTAGTTCAAGGAGGCAGTACTGGATGCCTTGCAGGTAGATGGATGGTAAGCACCCTGGACAGAGCAGTACTGGGCAGGCACAGGGGAGTGAGAGAGCGCACCTAGATGCCTGCTATGACTGGCATGCTGATGCTTTGAGGTAAGGGCAAAGAAGGTTCTGAGATTGCGGGGACATGGCCCAGGGAAATGTATTGAGCTGGGGGAGGAGGGGGATGCAGCATTTGGCTGCCATCTACAACATCTCTAGGCTGAGACCTAGAGTAGCGGGTAAGCCCAATCTCCCCCCCACCCTCCCGATCTCCACTGGGGAAGTGGCAGGACATGTGGCTGGACAGTTGATTGTAGGATCCCAGGACGGGGGTAGCATGGCTGGAGGGCTACGGAATAGAGGGCACTGTGCTCCTGAGATAGATGTAGGTCCAGGAGCAGATATGACAGCAGGCAAGACACCAGCGGGAGAAGGCACACTGATCTGCAGAACTAATCACCAAGATTAGGCAGAGGCTCAGGGTCATCACAAGGTATCACTGAGTGCAGAATTCAGTTCAGCGGGCATAGCATCTTAGTAGGAGAGTCTAAGCCAGGTACACCTTGGTGCCTCTCAGAAGAGGGAATGTCTGTCAGGAAGGTGCTAGAGGATATGCTATGTGTTCCCATGAGACCAGAAGATGAATTTCAGTGGACAACAGGCTCCCCAGTACAGACAGGTACAGAAGAATGAGGATGCCTGATGGCTAGCCCCAAAAGTAGGAATTACTCTGCTGTTCTTCAACCCTCCTAGTCTACCTTAGACCAAGTATATTTCATGCACCCAGAAGTGTGTGCGTCAATAGTTTGCTACTCTTTCAGATTTAACTTAGACCAACAGGCTGATGATCATACAGCATTCATCTCAGTGCTACCTTGAGTGCAATACCCTGAGTGCTTTGGAAACCTACCTGCTCTTTGCTCCTGAGACACAAACACACCGAGGACCCTTGCATGAAACCTACTGTCTGCTTACTTGTGCATCTGCAGGCAGGGTTTGCTGGTCTGTATCACAGAGGACGAAGGGTGCTTGCACGGACAGGAGAATGGTGAGAGGCAGGGAAGAGATGTTCTTTAAGATCAGAGGTTCATACTGCGAAGTCAGGACATCACTTGGGTGCTGTGTAAATGCAAAGCCACGTGATAAAGAGAAACCCCAAGACAACCACATGCCCACTATGACTACTGGGATGCAGGCAGGCAGCTGGGACTGTAAGGGAGATTCCAATACTCCACCACAGCACTGCAGTTCATTTCTCTGGCTTTTGGGGTCTAAGCAAAGTCCAACATTTCTCAACAAATCTTTGTGTGGTCATGACAATGATTGCTTTAAAAGCTTCAGAGGGGTGGCCAAGTTAGTCTGTAACAGGAAAAACTTAAAAAACAACAAATAGTCTAGTGGCCCCTTAAAGAGTAACAAAACATGTCGATGGGATTATGAGCTTTCGTGGGCACAGCCCACTTCTTCAGATGACTGGAGTTAGGATGATGATAAAGCGTTTTCTCTATGAAGCAGGGTGTAGCTTTATGTCGCTGCGTCACAAGAAAAAATAAGGCTAAGAAATAAGGCATAACATGTTTTAACAGAAAGGGTAATTAACCACTGGAACAGCTTACCAAGGGTCATGGTGGATTCTCTATCACTGACAATTCTGAAATCAAGACTGGATATGTTTCTACGAGATCTGCTCAAGCAATTATTTTAGGAACATTCTCTGACCAGGAGCTCAAACTAGATGATCACAAAGGTCCCTTTCTGGCATTGGCATCTAACATCTCCCCCCTTCTGCCTTTCCCCAAATTTCAAAATGTTCCAAAGGTCAAAATTCAAACATCATTATGACCAGCTGTGTAACTGGTCAAAAAAATGGAAAATTTTTCAGTGACAATTTTTGTCAATTACTCCCCCTCCCTGCAATTTCTCACCTCCAGTTTCTCTTCTTTTTTTATTTAATTTCAAAATTCTCACATACCCCAAATTGACAATGCTTGAATTGCCACCAGCTCTATTATTATTAATACTCTGCAATGTCTAGCTCCTTTCTCCCTCAAATGCATTTGCTTTCCAAGCCATAGCATGTGAGGTTGGGAAGTACCGCAGCTCAGTGGGGTCGCGTGCCAGGCTTCCACCTCTCCACCCCCTTCCCCCATGGTGCCAGGCTCCTGGCTCCCCCACACAGTGCTCTAGGACTCTCTGATCCTGGATCATCCATGATGTAGCCAGACCTGAGAGTCCCAGTTTATAGAGGTGAAACCTATATTACTATCCCCATTTTACAGATGGGAAAATAGAAACACAGCTGGACCAAAATCACACAGGAAAGTGCAAGTAGCAGAATGGGGAACAAAACAGTTCTGACACCAAGTCCTATGTTTAACTAACAGACAATACAAAAAGCTTTTAATTCTCAAAATAAATCCTGCCAACCTTACTGAGCTGAGGCAAAAATGTTTCATGCACATGTACTAGAAAGGGTAGGATCCTGCATAGCTCAGATGCAAAGTGTTTCTATTCTCTCTGCTATAAAGACAAGCTGGCTGAAGGTTTCCAGTCTAACACAGCTGCTGCTGTTGAAACCTGGCATTTCTCTGACATTTATGATCAGATTATATAAAGTAGATAGTGTTGGGGAAGCAAAATGCATTGATCTCAAGCAGTGATAGTGTCATTACAGTCAGTACAGCCAAGTGTATGGCACCAAAGCCAACGCAGAGAGACAGTGGGATAACTAAACCTGAATGTTGAGTCCCAGCAGCTCATTTGCATGGGCTATTCAACAGAAGTGCACTTCTGCAACATTGCTGGCTGTGGGGAACGCAGAACAGGGATGGACAAACAGGAGCACAGTGGGAAATGCACTTCCCATGATTAGATATCCTGCAGGCTAGGGAATGAAGATGCAAGAATCTAGCTGCAGAGAGGAGTCGGACTGACAGACTTACACGTCCTAACACAGTCGTTTCTTCTATCAAAGTATCTTACAACGTACTGGGGCAGATGAGGATTTGGAATCGCACTTGTGGCCGCAGCATCGTCAGTTATGGCACCATCCCCCATGGGAGCTGATTGGTACTTGGTTACTCAACCCACTAACATGCGCCGTTGCCTTGGGAAGGCCACTTGCGGTTTATTTACACTGGAGGTAGGAGGGATAAGTTGCAGCTCAAGGAGACATCCCTGCCAGAGGTGGGACTGAGCTAGTGTAGCCACTTTGGCTGGCCATCCCAAGAATGACCCTGGCCAAGGTGAGAAGCAGGTATTCGGGGCAGTAACTCCTCCCATTGCTTGCGCAGCTGCAGCTACAGCTACACAGCTGTGTTAAGCATGGTAAGTAAATCACAGTTAGTGCAAGTGTGTCTGCTCCAGCTGAGAATGACACCTTACTGCTCCAGCCCAGACATGCCCTGAGTGTTACTGGTGTGGAATGGAGAGAATGAGCCTTATCTATCCACAGCCACTGGAGCATGGTGGGGAACCATTGACTAATGCTTGTAAAGGAGGCTGACCATGTAAAACACTATTAAAGGCAAAATCCCAGACCCACTGAAATCTTTGCATGCATTTGTGTGTGTGTACACACACACACACCACCCATATCCTCTCTCACACACACACACACACACCACCCATATCCTTTCACACACACACACACACACACACACCACCCATATCCTTTCTCTCTCACACACACACACACACACACACACACACACACACACACACACACACACCACCCATATCCTTTCAAACAGTCATTCTGCCGACTACCTATTAAATGCCAGTAGAGAACCTAAAGGTGTACCTTTTCCACTCGGAAAGTGATCTCTTTGGAGGAGAGGTGCAGAATGGGTGCGATGAATTCACATGTGATGTCCACTTTCATTATCCGTTCCTTCCCAGACTGTTTCCCTATAATGGCATGGCAAACCAACCGTTCCTTCACTACCTGCACAAGAAACAGTCACAGCACATCATCAGGACAACACATGCTGGCTGCTGGTACAAAGCCAATGGCTTTCAACTGCACACACAGCTGCCTGTTACCTATTCTTGGAACTGACTGGGTACCATGGCCTATAGCCATGAAGACATACATATCAGTCTGTGTGATTGCCTATGTTTCTTTTCAATATTAAAATGTCCTTAATCCGACAGAATCATAGGGCTGGAAGAGACCTCAGGAGATCATTGATTCCAACCACCTGCTCAAAGGAGAACCAATCCCAACTAAATCATTCCGGCCAGGGCTTTGTCCAGCTGAGACAAACACCTCTAGAGATGGAGATTCCACATCCTCCCTAGGGAATCCATTCCAGTGCTTCACCACCCTTCTAATGAAATAGTTTTTCCTATCCTCTTTGGAACGCCCCTTCAGGAGGTTGAAGGCTGCTATCCAATCCCACTTCACTCTTCTCTTCTGCAGATTAAATAAGCCCACATCCCTCAGCCGCTCCAGTCATGTGCTCCAGTTCCTTAATCATTTTGGTTGCGCTCCCCTGGACTCTCTCCAATGCACCCACATCCTTTCTGTAATGGGGGCCCAGAACTGGACAATACTCCAGATGTGGCCTCCCCAGTGCTGAATAAAGGGGAATAATCACTTTCCTAGATCACTAATGCCATGTGTTCTGCAACTGCCAATTAAGACACTTGTGAGTGAGGTGTTGCTTGACTATAATAAATAAAGCATCAAATGAATATTTTTAGGGTCTATTCGTCTGGCCAAGCACAATGATTTTATAAAACCGGAGGGAACCACTTAAAAAAATGTAAGTGCTATAATAAGGAAAACAGATAGGAAAGGGATCCTGATGCCAATAATCCTGCCCTAAAAAGCATCGCAGAAATTATAGGCAGAAAAGATTCCATGATTCAGTCCGCGCCTCTCCTTGTCAATGCAAGATTCCCCCCTCCTCTGTGTTTGTCTGATCTAGTTCTAAAAGTCCCCTGCCCTGGGGCTCACAATACAGCTCTTGGGAGTCAACCGGCCAGCATAACAATTCTCTTGCCAGGAGATTTCTCTGAGTCACCTTACACTGTCCCATTACACAGTTATCCCCTACGGCACTATTACAACACAATGTTCTTCCTCCTTGGAGCTTGCACCTTCCAGGGGCTCGCTGGAATGGACACAGAACCAAGCTGTGCACCCAGAGCCCATGCCGGGCAGTGAAGATACTGCCACCAACCCACAGCAGCTCCAGCCTGCTCATGCTTTATTTCCCATGCCTGTTGCAGGCACAGACCACAAAATGTCCTGATTCAAGGAGGCTGAGAGGTAGGGGCCACATGGCTCCTCATCTTATGGGAACACCAGGGATGGTCCAGGAAGTGCCTAGGCAACAGTGTGGCTCTCTTGTAGATGTCATGAACATTCCTGTCATAGAACACTAGGACTGGAAGGGACCTCGAGAGGTCATCAAGTCCAGTCCCCTGCCCTCATGGCAGGACCCAGTACTGTCTACCCCATCCTTGACAGACATTTATCTAACCTGCTCTTAAATATCTCCAGAGATAGAGATTCCACAACCTCCCTGGGCAATTTATTCTAGTGTTTCACCATCCTGACCATTAGGAAGTGTTTCCAACCTAAACCTCCCTTGCTGCAGTGTAAGCCCATTGCTTCTTGTTCTATCCTCAGAGGCCAGGAAGAAAAAGTTTTCTCCCTCCTCCTTGTGACACCCTTTTAGATACCTGAAAACTGCTCTCATGTCCCCTCTCAATCTTCTCTTTTCTAAACTAAACAAGCCCAATTCTTTCAGCCTTCCCTCACAGGTCATGTTCTCTAGACCTTTAATCATTCTTGTTGATCTTCTCTGGACCTTCTCCAATTTCTCCACATCTTTCTTGATATGTGGTGCCCAGCACCAGACACAATATTCCAACTGAGGCCTAATCAGCGCAGAGTAGAACAGAAGAATGACTTCTCGTGTCTTGCTCACAACACACCTGTTAATGCAGCCCAGAATCATGTTTGCTTTTTTTGCAACAGCATCACAATGATGACTCATATTCAGCTTGTGGTCCACTCTAACCCCTAGATCCCTTTCTGCCGTACTCCTTCCTAGACAGTCGCTTCCTATTCCGTATGTGTGAAACTGATTTGTTCCTTTCTATGTGGAGCACTTTACATTTGTCTTTATTAAACTTCATCCTGTTTACCTCAGACCATTTCTCCAATTTGTCCAGATCATTTTGAATTATGACCCTCTCCTCCAAAGCAGTTGCAACCCCTCCCAGTTTGGTATCATCTACAAATTTAATAAGTGTACTCTCTATGCCGATATCTAAATCGTTGATGAATATATTGAACAGAGCCGGTCCCAAAACAGACCCCTGCGGAACCCTACTTGTTATACCATTCCAGGAGAATTGTGAATCATTAATAACTACTCTCTGAGATCGGTTATCCAGCCAGTTATGTACCCACCTTATAGTAGCCCCGTCTAAGTTGTATTTGCCTAGTTTATTGATAAGAATATCATGCGAGACCAAATCAGATGCCTTACTAAAGTCTAGGTATACCACATCCACTGCTTCTCCCTTATCCATATGACTTGTTATCCTATTAAAGAACTCTATCAGAGTGGTTTGACATGATTTGTTCTTTATAAATCCATGCTGGCTGGTCCCTATCACCTTGCCACCTTCCCAGGGTTTAAACTGACTGGTCTGTAGTTTCCTGCCCTTTTTATAGATGGGCACTATATTTGCCCTTTTCCAGTCTTCTGGAATCTCTACCGTCTTCCATGATTTTCCAAAGATGATAGTTAAAGGCTCAGATACCTCCTCTATCAGCTTCTTAAGTATTCTAGGATGCATTTCATCAGGCCCTGGTGACTTGCAGGCCTCTAACTTTTCTAGGTGATTTTTAACTTGTTCTTTTTTTAATTTTATCTTTCTAAACCTACCCCCTTCCTACTAGCATTCACTATGTTAGGCATTCCTTCATCAGACTTCTCAGTGAGGACCAAAACAAAGAAGTCATTAAGCATCTCTGCTATTTACAAGTTTCCGGTTACTGTTTCGCCCTCTGCACTGAGCAATGGGCCTACACTGTCCTTGGTCTTCCTCTTGCTTCTAAAGTATTTATAGAATGTCTTCTTGTGTCCCTTTATGCTTGTAGTTAGTTTGAGCTCATTTTGTGCCTTTGCCTTTCTAATCTTGTCCCTGCATTCCTGTGTTGTTTGCCTATATTCATCCTTTGTAATTTGTCCTAGTTTCCATTTTTTGTGACTCCTTTTTTATTTTTAGATCATGCAAGATCTCCTGGTTAAGTCAAGGTGGTCTTTTGCTATATTTTCTATCTTTCCTATGCAGTGGAATAGCTTGCTTTTGGGCCCTTAATAATGTTCCTTTGAGAAACTGCCAACTCTCCTCAATTGTTTTTCCCCCTCAGTCTTGCCTCCCATGGGACCTTACCTACTAGCTCTCTGAGCTTACCAAAATCTGCCTTCCTGAAATCCATTGTCTCTAATTTGCTGTTCTCCCTTTTACCATTTCTTAGAATCATGAACTGTATGATTTCATGATCACTTTCACCCAAGCTGCCTTCCATTTTCAAATTCTCAACCACTTCCTCCCTATTTGTTAAAATCTAATCTAGAACAGCTTCTCCCCTAGTAGCTTTTTCAACCTTCTGAAATAAAAAGTTGTCTCCAATGCAGTCCAAGAACTTATTGGATAGTCTGTGCCCTGCTGTGTTAGTTTCCCAACTTATATCTGGATAGTTGAAGTCCCCCATCACCACCAAATCCTGCGCTTTGGATGATTTTGTTAGTTGTTTAAAAAAAGCCTCGTCCACCTCTTCCGCCTGGGTGGACCTTGCTTCTTGACCTGGACTCTGGACCCTGAGCTAGGCTCTGATTTCTGGTATTGATCCAGTGTGTCATTTGACCATGAACTCATCTGTTACTCTTAGCCCCAGGTTTCACCTAGTTCTGACCCTTGGTCCTGACTGCCCTAGTCAGGATCCTGACAGCAAGTCAGTCCCTCCACCCCGCTGACCATTTCATTCTCTTTTTTAGGTCTAATCCAATTAGTCCACATCTATCAGGAAACGAGGTTCCTGTAACTGAACAAAATACACCAGTAGCAGTCCCAACAGCAATGGTCTCCAACAGTTTTAAAAAGAAGATCACTTTTTCAATGTAAGTGCACTGCCAATCTCCCTCCAGTCTCTTCTCTCTGTGTGGAGTTATGGTACAAGAGAGGGGAGGAGGGACACCCTGACATCAGCAGCCCCCTTCACTCCCTGCTCAGCAAACAGGAGCCCCCCAAGGGGAGCTCCGAGCCAGAGGGCAGGAGCAGCATGACAGTGGATGGAGAGGCAACTGAAGGGCCAGCACTTGATAGCTTCCCAGCCAAACCAGTCAGGATCATCTGTCAGAGGCTCCAAGAACTACTAGATGGTGACCACTGCCCAACAGAGACACACAGAAACCAAATTTCTGCTCTCTAGTATGAGCCATGCAGCAGTACAAAACTAAGTTTTCTTCTGCCCCCAGTGGGGAAAGACAGGTCTCCCCACTGTGGCACAGCACAAAATTTCTGCCCCACTAAACCCATAGATCACTGGAGATCTTTCCGAGGGAAGGGTCTCTGCTGTGCTAGCCACAGTCCCAGGAGGGAACAGAGGATCAGCTAGCTAGGGAGTACTCCAGAAACACTCCCCCCAGGAGCTAATAAACAAGCTAATCAACAGTTCCTCTGAAATACTGTACACAGCTTTGGTCTGCAGTTCTGATGCAGGAGACTCTAGAACAGCTGGACTGGTAACCAGCCTTCTCCCTCTCTGCCTCTTGCACTAGAACCCTGCAGAAGGGCTTCCATTGAGCTAAGGGAGGAGAGGAACAAACTGCATTCCCGCTTCTGAGCCCTCCCCATGCCTCGCACCCAGGGTGCAGGCTCCCTTTCTGCAAGGAAGGTAGAGGAGCATGGGGTGAGTGAAAAGGGATGGTGAGGTCCCTGTGCTGTAATGTGGTATCTCTGCACAAAGTGCCCTAGACTTTGTTGCTCCTTGTCACGTCTCAGTCTCTTTCATCATTCCTGGTTTCCCTCATTAGCCTTAATGAGCCAGGGTTTGGTTCCTTTCTCAGGAGGCTACGGGGCACTGCTTGATGTCCTGGGCCGTCCCTGGGACAGAAGGGCTAGGGCAAACTGTGATGGAAAATACTGATGAGAAATGAGCTTTCAAGTATAATGATCTGTGAGAACAGCCTTTTGGAATGGATGATACCATGCTCTGGCCTCTACAAGCAATGCATTCAGGCTAGCGATTGCCAACAGCACAAAGCATGTTAAACAGATGCTTCATAAAATATCTTTAGAAATGTAAGTAAATGACTGTGCTCGAGGGTATTCCCTCACGAAATAGCCAGGTTTTGGATTATTCCCCTCTCCCATTTAATTACCTTGTATTTTTCTAGCAGCTTTCTGCCTATGACCCTAAACACTCCGGACCTTGCCATACTATTTCTTCATCCCTCCTTGCTACCTCAGCACAGGACTCCACCAAGTAACTAGGTGCTTGCCCCGAAGGCAGGTGATATTTTAGCATTTGAAGTAGGGATGTAAAATCCCATTTAAAATGTTAACTGGTTAAATGATATGTTTAATTGATTAACCAGCCAGCTGCCGAAGGCATGGGCCCGGCCAGGCTGGAGCAGGTACCCGCTCACAGTGCAGCGTGGTGGTACTAGCTGAACCAGGGAGGACCCGCCACACCATACTGCAGGTGGTGGGCTGCTTCAACGCAGCCAGCCTAGGGGGCTGCTCCAGCCTGGCCAAGCACTGGTTAACCATTTACCCCAGTAAGTATGCTGGTACAGCAATGCTTACCAGATAACTGGTTAACAGGCACTTAGAAATGCTTACGCTCCTTCAGTCTGCAGGGAATCCCATTCCTGTCACCGTGCACCAGGCCACAGTGGATGTGGCTCCAGCTCATTAGGGACCTAGACCTTGTAGGGAGCCCTGGATTCCCCCAGCTGGAGCCACGTCCCCTACAGCCTGGTGCAAGTTGACAAGAACGGGACTCCCCGCAGACTGAAGGGGCATAAGCATTACTAAGTGCCTGTTAACCAGTTACCTGGTAAGCATTGCCATACCAGCATGCTTACTCTCTTATGCATTGCTCTGCCTGTGCTTATAGATGTGTCACTTTGCAGTAGCTGTGTAACCATCTGGCAGTATTAAGCCTGTAATAGTAGTGACGTAGTGAGGGATAGTTGCTTTTATGAATCTGACTCTGTCTTGAAGCAAATCCATGACCCTGTTTGGCTATGCTCCTGTGAGGTGACACCCTTTAAATCCCTAATTTGAAAGTTGGATTTATGGTAGCTATAAGAAGAAAAGCCTTAGCAACTAATAGTGCCCAGGCAAGAAGAGCTACTGGTGCTACCATGGTAACTCGTGGCATTATAGCAATTCTTGAAACGGATCATTTTCTAAGATAAATGTCAAGGCACCAGCCTCAGAAACACCAGTGGCAACAATCTAATTGAAATGCTCTTGCACTCTTTTACCTTAGGAGTATCGGAGGAGCCTTCCAGCATCATATCCATGGTCTTGCCTGGAAGCAGCTCCATCCTTAATGGATGAAGCTTAAACACCGGAAAGGCGGTCTCTGGTCTCTGGGAGCATTTCTTGCCCTTGACATTGCTCTTAGCAAGGAAATGGTTATGCTGGCTAAATGGAGGGAAACCTTCTGTCACCCAGTAGAGCTGATGCGTTCGTCGCCCGCGGTTGGTTATCTTGAAGCGATAGCAGCAGGGATCCAGACTGAAAGAACAGCAGAAGGGAGATATATGGAAAGGTTACTGAAGGTGGGCATCTCTACTAGGAAAGAGAAAATGGTTGCTTGTTTGACAGGCAACAAATCAGGACAAACTCGTTTGGGTTCCTTCTTTGACAGCGTCACTGGTTGGGTGGATGGGGGAATGCAGTGGACTTAATAGACCTGGACTTCAGCAAAACTGTTGGCCCAGTCCCATCTGCCATTGTGACAAGTAAGCCGGAGAAACGCAGGCTTGGCAGAACTCCCATTGAGTAGATACACAACTGGTTAAACAGACACAAACAGAGTGACTACGAATGGAATGATGGGAGATTGGAGGAAATTCTCAATAATGGGGTTCCATGGGGGGAGAGGAGGTGTCTCTTCTGAGTCCACTGTTGTGTAGAATCTTTATTAATGACCTGGATGTAGGAATAGAGTACATACTGATCACACCAAGCTGTAGGGGAGGGAGCTGCCAATACTTTGGAGGAGAGAGCTAAAATTCAGAGGAATCTTGATAAATTGGAGACTTGGACTATAGACAACAGAGTGAAATTCAACAGAGTACTGCTGAGACTGATCTGAGAGTTGTGGTGCCTCAAAGTGTGTCAGCAACGTCATGTAGTTTCAAAAAAAGCAAATGCAATTTTAGGTGGCATTAACATAGGCATAGCATGCAAGTTATGGAAGGTGATAGTACTGCTCTACTTGGTGCTGATTAGGCCTCAGCTTGAAAACTGTATCCGATTTTGGTATCCAATATACAGAATCATAGAACGGGAAGGAGCCTTGAGAAGTAATCAAATACAGTCCCCTATAAACACACTGCAGGACCAAGCATCACCAACACTAGGGATGGACAATTTTTGATCGGGGCCACTCCAAGATTTTGGAAAGTGGCCACGGTCTGCATTTCTCTAGGGAGGGGGTGCAAGGTTTGAAACGGAGATTGGGTGCAGAAGGAAGCTTGGGGTAAGGGATTGAGGCACAGGAGAGGGTGTGGGGTCTGAGAGGAAGTTTAGGAGAAGTAAGGGGTTAGGGGAACCGGGTGCTAGGTCTGGGAGGGAGTAGGGATGAAGGAGTAAATGTTGACTTGGAAGAGGAGTATAGCAGTGGGTGTGGGGTCTGGGAGGGAATTGTAATCTGGGGCAGTGTGCAGACTAGAGCAGAGGAAGGTGATGACCTGGGCCAGGGAGCTAAGAAGTGGGAGAGGTTGAGGTGACAGAGGCAGACTCTGGCCGGGAGTCACTTACCGTAGGCAGCTCCCAGCCAGCAGCCCAACAGGGTCCCTGAGGCAAGCTCCCTCCTGTAGCAGCCCCAGCCACATGGATTCCCTCCTTGTGCTGCTCAGGGCCGCTTGCCCCTGGGGGGCAAGAGACTTCATGCACACTCCCCGACCCCAGGCCAATCGGGAACCTGGCAGCTGTTTTCAACAGATAGTGGCTCCCTCTACATTCTGCACACTTCTGGCAGGGAGGTGGGGGGAGAAGGAAATTGTATGTGCTCCCCTACCCCCAGGCCAATCATCACAGCTGGAGGGAGGGGAGCACCAAAATCTCCTGTCCCCTGCCCCCCTCCTGGGGCACACGGTACGTAAAGGAACCACCAGTCATTTTGAACAGCTCAAGGCTCCATCTATGCGCCGTGTGCCCATGGCGGCAATGAGAGGGGGAGGGAGACATTTTATGCTACCCCACTCCCAAGCCAATCAGGGACTGGGGGTGGGAGAGGTGAAAAGTCTCTCACCTCAGCCCCTCCACCAAGGGGGGCTGCAGGCCAGATCAAAAGGCTTGGAGGGCCGTATCATGCCCACCCCCGACCGGTATTTGTCTAACCTGCTCTTAGAAATCTCCAGTGATGAAGATTCTACAACCTCCGTAGGCAATTTATTCCAGTGGGAACTCACCCTGACAGGAACTTTTTCCTAATGTCCAACCTAAACCTCCCTTGCTGCAGTTTAAGCCCATTGCTTCTTGACCTATCAGAGGTTAAAGAGAATATTTTTTCTCCCTCCTCCTTGTAACAAACCTGTCGGTACTTGAAAGCTGTTATGTCCCCTCAGTCTTCATTTGTCCGAACTAAAGAATCCCAATTTTTCCAACCTTCCCTCAGAGGCCATGTTCTCTAGAACTTTCATCATTTGTGTTGCTCTGCTCTGGACCTTCTCCAATTTGTCCACATCTTTCCTGAAATGTGGTGCCCAGCACTGGACACAATACTCCAGCTGAGCACAGAGTAGAATTACTTCTCGAGTCTTGCTTAAAACACTCCTACTTATTCATCCCAGAGGAGTGTTTGTTTCCAAAAAGGAAAAAAAACCAAACAAACCAGTGTTACACTGTGGACTCATATTTAGCTTTTGGTCCACTACAAACCTCCCTGGTCTGGCATCCTTGGGATGCGACTGGTTCTGAACCAGGGAATTTGCTGGATTACCCTCCGCTCTCAATCCCTTGCCCTGTCACTGGCCCTCCCCACCCTAGGGGCCCTGGAGGTCCCCATGGCCACTGGCCAGGGTTCCGCTCCATTGGTCACACAGGACTCCTCTCCGTCAGCCAGGCTTTCTTATGAGGGTTGGCTGACCACATTTTCCCTGCATTCTGCCAGCTGGGGTTTCTCTTCACTCTGCCGGCCAGGGCTCTGCTCCACTGACTGGGTTCCACTCTGCCAGATGGGGCTCTGCTGCTATCCCCAGTGTACCAGAGCTCTGCTCCTGGCCACCAATCCCCACTGGTCCTGCAACACTCCTGGCCCCAGCCCACTGGTTTCTCCAGTCCCAGAGCACCCACTGGGTCACTGACAATGCTGGACCAGGGGTGTTGCCAGACAAGGGAAATGTGGAATAGGAAGGTTCAACCCGGACGCTTTTCTGGCTAGTCATTTCCCATTTTGTATGGGAGAAACTGATTGTTCCTCTTTAGGTGGAGCACTTTGCATTTCATAGACTCATAGGCTTTAAGGTCAGAAGGGACCATTCTGATCATCTAGTCTGACCCCCTGCACAATGCAGGCCACAGAATCTCACCCACCCCTCCTAGAATAATCCTCTCACCTATGTCTCAGATATTGAAGCCTTCAAATACTTTGAAGGCCCCAAGATGCAGAGAATCCTCCAGCTGTGATCTGTGCCCCATGCTACAGAGGAAGGGAAAAACCTTATTGAACTTCATCCTGTTCAGCTCAGACCATTTCTGCAGTTTGTCCAGATCATTCTGAATCATGACCATATCCTCCAAAGCACTTGCAACTCTCCCAGCTTGGCATCACCTGCAAACTCAATAAGCATCCTCTCTACGCCAATATCTAAATTGTTGATGAAGATACTGAAAGAACTGGTCCCAAAGCTGATCCCTGTGGAATCATGCCTCATTATGCCTTTCCAGAATGACTGTGAACCATTGATAGTGTGGTTAAGGGGCTGAGAGTAGGGAGTCAGGGGAAGCCCAGCTGCAGCAAATGAGGAGGGCCCAGCTGGAGGCAATAAGAACAGCTCCTAGGAGGAGGAGAGGGAGATCGCCCTGCCTGCTGCTCTGGAGGGAGAGCAGTGGAGACCTGACTGCCGGGGGAAGGAAGAAGGCTCCCTGGAAGAGGGCAGGACTGGGGAGGCTATGGCAGGATCAACCCAGGCTACCCGGCCTGAGGCCCAGTGCTGCAAGGAGGCAGTCACAAAGGGCCAAGGCTAGCATGGAGGCAGCCCTAAAAGGCCGGACTGTGAAGGAGTCAGCTGTGGCTAGCACAGAGTCAGGAAGACAGGGGGAGCTTGAGCCAGCGAAGCCCCAGGCCATAAGACCAGGAGGCAGTGTTGCAGGAGGCAACCGGGCAAGCAGAGGCGTGCCTGTGGCCAGGGAGGAGGGGCCTAGAGATACTGGGAGGGGGGCTCTTAAGGGACTGGCAGTGGGCCACTGAGGCCAGGACGGCGTGGAGGGAACTGGTGGTCCCAGGGCAGAAGAACTGGGGGTCCTAAGGAGTAGGGAGGACCCTGGAGTAAAGAACAGTAATGACACCCCCCTGAAAGGGGGCGCGGACTAAGAACCGAGTGGTCACTGCCGGAGGGCAGTGCCCCGAAGACCTACACCACACCCAAAGGGGGCGCATTGGTGGCAGAACAGCCAGCTACTTCCCCCAACAGCCATCCGGAGGGAAGACGCCATGTGAAAAAATGAGCGAACCCGCTACAATAGCTACTCTCTGGGAACGGTTCTTCAGCCAGTTATGCACTCACCTTATAGTAGCCCCCTCTAGATTGTATTTCCCTAGTTTATTAATGAGAAGTCTCAATGGAAGCAATGCCCTTGTAGCTTCAATCTTAGGGGACTAGAATAAAAATCCTTGCTAGGGTTTTTTATTCATCTCTATGGAGATGAAGGTGCACAGGAAAAGGTGAGAGCCAGAGAGATTACCTACCTGAAGTGTGGTCCCAAGTTGATTGCTGGAGCAAAGGGTTTGTCTGTGACAATTGTGGTACCGATGCCAACAGCCTGGACTGGGATCACATAGGTATTGCTGTTTTGTATGAATAAATGCACCTGGTCTTGGAATTTCACTGTGTCATCCAAGTTCGCAATCAGAGTCAACGATACCTCCGCCTCTGGGGGAAGTACACCTTCACTGGGCTCAATTCTCCATGCGTGACTATGAGCCTGCAACAAGAGCCAAAAGCAGTTGTTGAATAGATGAGAATAGAGTCTCAATGTATCTGTGGGGCACTACAGAGTACAATTAAAAGAAAAAGAAAGCAATGCTGGGTAAGGAAAAAGCATCTTGGGCTGAAAAAAGGGAGGGAGAATAAGACAGAAAATATCTTAATGCCTCTATATAAAGCCATGGTATGTCCACATCTTGAATTCCACATACAGATGTTGTTGCCTCATCTCAAAAAAGATATATTGGCATTGGAAAAGGTTCAGAAAAGGGCAACAAAAATGATTAGGGGTTTCGAAGGGGTCCCCCATGAAGAGAGATTAAAAAGACTTAGACTTTTCAGCTTAGAAAAGTCAGCTTAGCTGCCTGGTAAGCTAGAGAGGGTACCTGACACAGAGCAGGGATGGGGAAAGGCAGGCAGAGCTGGGAAGGTCTGGCCTGGAACGTTCCCAGGCTACAGGGCCTCAGGCTACTAGGGCTGCAGAGAAGCAGCCAGTATAGGAAAAGGCAGCCGGTCCACACCCCGTCCACATTCCCTTGCCAATGATGAGTGGCCATTTCAGACTGCAGTTTACCCCTGAGGCAGGGGTAGATGATGACTAGCCATGTATCACAGAGGAAAGGAGGGTATAGGGGTTCCTTGGGAGGGGAGGACCCCAGAGTGTGAGAAGGGGCACTGTGGGCTGAGAGGGACACGCGGCCTGAAGTAGCGCAGAAAAAGGCAGGTAACTGAAGGAGAGTCACTGCCTAACAGGGTGTTCCAGGGCTGGAAGAGCTAAGTCCTGGATAGACCAGCAGGAGGCGCTGCAGTGGTGAATCTCATACCCTTACGCATCCCACATAATAATGGAGGCTGAAACCACATGAGGGCTGTTGTAATAACTGAGGTCTAGCAGGCCTATGGGAATCACGAGCCAAACGGTAGGAAAGGAGGTAAAGGCTCAGGAACTATTACAATGTCCTGTTACATCAGAACAGTTGAAGAAAGTTTTCAGAGCGAGCCAGAAAGATTGAATACATGTAAACAGAGGGGCTGCATCTACACTGGCAGGATTTTGCAGAAATACTTTTAACGGAAACGTTTCTCCGTTAAAAGTATTTCCAAAAAAGAGCATCTCTATTGGCAAGTGCCTTTGCGCAAAAGCATCTGTGCCCAGTATAGACGCAGTTTTGTGCAAGAAAGCTCTGACAGCCATTTTCGCCATCGGGGCTTTCGTATGCAAAAAATTCCTGTCCCTGTCTACACTGGCAAGAGGGCTTTTTCCCCCGAGCGGGAGGTCAGAGTTCTTGCGCAAGAGCACTGACAATCTTACATTAGATCATCAGTGTTCTTGCACAAATTCTCGCAGCCAGTGTAGACAGCTGGCAAGATTTTGCACAAAAGCGTCCACTTTTATGCAAAATCTTGCCAGTCTAGATGCACTCAGGGGGTTTCCTGCTGTCACTCAATGTGTGTGTATGGGGGGGGGGGGGGGGTTTGGGGG